CTCTCTACCACCACCTTGGACCAAACTGCTGTCCATCTCACCTGGATTATCACAACAGCCTCCTAACTGTTGCTTGAGCTCAGTCTCAGAGTTGGAGGTGTGTCCTCAACACCTCAGCACATGATCTTACTCAGGGAGTATCAGATGGTCTTACTTCTCTATTCAAAACTCTTCATTGGCCTCTCCAAGGTCCTTCCATTAATTGACATGACCCCACATGATCTGTTCCTCATGACCCCTTGGACCTCACCTTCTCTTCTCTGGCCATACTGGCCTCCTCATTGATCTTGAACATTTCAAGCCCTCCCAACAGATGCCCTCCCCCAACCCCCCTTAACTCCCCTACACACACACACACCCTGGAACACTCTTCCTCAAGATAGCTACAAGGCAACCTCCTTCACTTTCTTTGGTTTTTTTCTCAAAAGCTTCTTTCTGTGTGAACCTTATCTGGCCACTCTATCTAAAATCTCAGCACCCACCCCCTAACATGTCATGTACCCTAGCCTTATAAAAATGAGTCTCTTTAACACTCATCAATAGACATTATGCATTTTATATTTTAGTTATATTTATATATTTCTTTATAAAACTATAAATAAACACTATATTTAACTTACATTTCTTTTTCTGTCATTCCCTATAAATCTGCTTCATCAAAGGAGAAATAATTACCAGTTTTATTCACTGTTGTATCCTGATAATTTAAGTACAGTGGTAGACTCAAATACTTATTGAGTGAAAAGATGAAAAAAAGTTAACTGCAGTACAATAAATATTACAATTGCATTTATATATTTCCTTCTTGATAGCTATAAAAATCTTTCAAACCATAAGCAAGCCAAGCTGCAGTATAGGAAAGGACATCACCAAATCTATAACTTTAAATTGATTCAAACTCAAATTGAGGGACAGTCTACAAAGTACTTGATCAGTACTTTTCAAAAGTGACAAGCACAAAAGACAAGGAAAGACTGAGGAGTTAGCACCAACAAGAGGAGACCAAGGAGACATGGACACTAAATGTTACATCAGGTCCTACACAGGATCCTGGAACAGAAAAGAGGACAGTGAAGTTCCAAAAGGGCCGTAGTTTAGTTACTAATACTGCACAATGTTAATTTCCTAGTTTGATAGCTGCCCTATGGTGATGTAAGATGTTAAAGGGCCAGGGAGGTATCCTACATGAACAAATATTATATCTAAACGTCTAAGTGGCCCTTCATATTTGAACAAGAATGTCATTTAAATGATAGGCACGTTTCCTGAATGAACAACAAGAAGTAAACCACCAACAAGGTAACTAAGTAACCAAGATAGGTGTGTGTGTGTGTGTGTGTGTGTGTAAAGGCAGTTTTTCTTTTTTCATTTCGGCAGTCATTTTTCTGTGCTATGGTAGGTGTGTGCCAAGGGACCCAAACAGATTTTCAAAGCATATATTCTCTGGTGCGTGAAAGGGTTTCATCAGAAGATACAATAACAATTCAAAGTTCTCTTTATACTCCCTCTGCTTTTAAAAGGTTATAAATAACAAATGTCAGTTTAGTAAAACCATCTTCTAAATAACATCCCACTAATATGAGACTTCACAGTAAAATAATAATACGCCATCCGAACTCTCAAGAAGGCATGTGCTCATTAGAGGCAGAAAAAAGATTAAGAAAACTGTCACCGAGAGTTTTCAACAATCACATTAACTAATAAACCACATTAGATCTTGTGGAGGTGGGCAGTAAAGAATGAAATCGCACAAGCAGAGTCCCCTGCCTGGAAGCTGCCACTCTAACCTCTCCATCAGGAGGGAATAAGTCCTATTGTAAGTGGCACTTCCTCCGGGGTGGCTGCTGGAACCTGCCCATACTGTGCCATCCACACACCCTTCCTGGAGGCCTTGAAGCCAGGGAGGACCCCCCACCTCTCCAGGGGGCCCATCTGAGAGGGTACCCAGGGACCAAGAGAAACACGTTATATCACCTCGGGACTAGGACTGTTAATGAGCATTACTCATGTTTGTTTGCTGAGAAATTTATCCAATATTTTGTAGATTAATGACAGTCCAAAAGGCAATTTAATTTAATTTAACCAACAATTATCAGCCATCTACTAAGGATTCACTTCTATTTTAGGGATGTGAAGATAAGAAGATGAATGAAATAAAACTAACCCTCAGAGAGTTTACTCCCTAGTAAAAGATATAAAGTTGGTAAACAAATAACTATAAAACAAATGAGCATCAAATGTCTAAAGGGCCGGGTAGGTAGTAGCTTCCTCAACAAAGTAAGCTGAGTGTCAGAGTAACAAAGACCCAGAAATGGAATTGTATATATATCTTAATGTAAATATATATGCTATCCATATTCTATATTATACTAAAATTTTCAAACTAACTGAAAAAGAAAATATTTAATTATTACTTTTTTTTTCATAATTTATTACTGCTTTTATTTGGAATAAAAAACCTGACAAAAACCCCTGGCTGGTGTAGCTCAGTTGGTTGGGGGTTGTCCTGGGCATCGAAAGATTACTGGTTTGATTCCTGATCAGGGCACATGCCAGGGTTTCGGGATTGATCCCCAGTAGGGGGCCTAAGGAGGCAACCAATGGATGTTTCACTCTCACATTAATGTTTCTTTCTCTCTCTCCCCGCCCTCTAAAAATCAATAAACTATGATTTAAAAAACAAACAACCCCTGATGTCTTTTATTCCATACCAAGGTATCAGTCAGGTCCTATATCTTTTAACTGTGAGTATGGTATACAGCCTTAAATACTTAAACTAAGGTTGTTAGGTAGTTTTATTCAGATTCATTTTTCAGATTCCTATTTCTAAAAATAAGCTTTTCCCAACATGGATAGAATTATTGTAAATGATTCTTATAAATAGGATAATCTCCTCCAAGATCTGTGTATAATCCTGGCCATCAATGTTGTCATATTTAGTCTTCAATACCATTTTGTACTATGCTTTGAGAACTTCAAATCATAGTCCTTCATTTGTGCTATCAAAAATTAATTAAGAAAACTAAGGCAAATAACACTGGTTTATTTTCATAAAGTTTGAAATCCATTATTCAATGGCCCAGTTTCAAAGAATAAATTTTAGGCTATCAGCTTCATTTCTGGAAAGTGACTGCAAAGTAGAAAAGTGGACTCAATTATTCTTTAACAACTGAATTTCCCTAAGACTCTATTTTGTCAGGACTGAGAGAAGCAAAGTCGATATTTATGCAAATACTTGTAAATGCCCCTATAGAAAAAATTCAAAAGGTGTAGACGAGTTGTAATGTCAGCAAGAAACTTGGAATTCGGAGCCAGTTTTTGCTGCTAAGTGGAGATAGGACAGCTCCATTTGATGTCATAAACAGTTAAAAAAATATCTGTCATCTCAGCACAAGTAAGCCAGCAAATTCATCAAGCCGACACTGACCTGATTTTGCTCCAAGATATAGAAGAATGGCCTGTTCATGGCATTAATTACTGAACTCGTGGCTTGTCTCACTTTAGCTTTTTAGCCCAAAGTAACTCCTGATGAATGAGAAAGTTAACAAACTTATAGACTTCAATGTTTAGCGCCCCTACAAAATACTGCCGCCTAGGAATCTGTTGCTTGGCAGTCCAAGGTCAGCCCCACCCTTCGTGAGAGCCCCACCTGTAGTCAACTTAACCTGGAACAGTGCATTCTGCCTCCGCTGGTCTGACACCTTTCTCATCACAAAGTAAACTATTCCCTGATGTTTTGCCTTGCAGAACTTCTTGTTCAAAGGTTCTTTGACCTCTCCAAAATTCTCAAAACATCACCAGGAGCATAACTAACAGCGTGCTACTATTTATTTCTGTCTTCTTATTTGCTGCAATAGAAAATGCCACCAATCATTTAACTTATCCTGAGGGTTTTCAGCCATATTTTTTACATGCTGAGCTACAGTGTTCCTGGTTATACTAAACTTCGCAAACGCTTGTTTTTTCTCTGGACACATGATTTCTGCTACATTCAAAAGAGACTCTTCTATAAAAGCATTGTCAGTGGAAAGGTTTTAATGCCCTGGCAAGTTTTTCACTTAAGAGAACTGCATTTCACAGCAAATCACTTATTTTACTCTCATTCAAAAACACACACTGCCATTTCTCCAGTTCATTAAGTTTCTCAACGCCCATCTTTTCTGTATACCAGCCTTGGCTGCTTTTATTAGGGTGCCTTAAGTTGTCATTTTTCTGTGCAAATAGTTTTTGTTTTCATGTTCTTCACACACACACACACACACAAAACTATACTCTTATTTTTTTCTTGAAATCCTCAACTCATGTTTTTAGGAGATGCACAAGTTCATTTTTCTCTTAATTTTACAATAAAAAAATAGTAGTAGAAAATAACAACTGCTTTTGATTTCAGTGTTGAAAATGAAAAAGAAGGTGTGGGGACTTTGAATGACTGTGGAGGGCATAGCCCTTCCCAGAGGACATTGCCCCTCAGATTCAGGGATGTCTGCCTTGTGAGGACACCAGCCTTCTGTTGTTAAAGAAAAATCTCCTAATTATGTAAATGTTGGTAACTTATTTGAAATTTATTAAAATAGCAAGTGGGTCAACATTGTTCTAGCCAGGCAGGCAAAGCAAATCTTTGAGTGCAGCCTGTAGGCTGCCCATCTGCAACCTCTGAGGATAGAGAATATAACAGTCAAATAATTTCTAGCTTACCTTTGTTTTAGTCTCTTCTTTGTTTGAGAAAAGGTACAATTACATCAGAATTCTATGGAGTATGAAATCCAAGTGTCCTAATCAATCTGGAAAGAGTCTAGAGGCAGTGAGCTGTAGCAAGGATACCCTTCATGAAGTTAGGCATGTGTGCGGAGTCCTGGGTATTTCACTTATTGGTGGGTTGATGTTAGATTCCTCATTTGGAAACAGGAATGATAAAATTGCCTTGTAAGTTTGTCAAAATGATTGCACACAGTATTTTAAAAAATCTTATAACTAATGTGCAAATGTTTATTCTTTTCTAGGAACATGGGTGACATTTGGAGGTCAAATTTCAGATGAGGTAAGTTACTTTTGTCTCCCATTATGCTAATCAAAGAAAATACAGAGAGAGCTATGGGGGAGAAGAATTCAGACCCTGGCGTTTTACAAAGATAGTATTTTAATCATGGGAAATAGCTAAGATTGACTCAAAGATTATTTTCATCTGGCTTCAGATGAGCTCAGCACAAAGCAAATATAAACATGGGATCCTGGGATGACCACACCGTATGTGCTGGGTGACACAGTCATCAGTGCTGCCTCTTGAAGTGAGGATGTCCCCATTACTAGGACAGTTCAACCATGTATTGAAAAGCCCCTTGACAGGGATCTTATCAAAGGGAATCAAACATGAATCTAGATAACTCTCTGAGATGCCTCCTAAAGATGATCTGGCTTCATTATAAAACCAAAATAGATGTTGTTCATATGAATATTTTTAAGTAATGGTAAGACTGTATTATCATCTTATAGAACTTAATTTTCAGAGTTTTATTTTCTCATCTGTAAGGTAGTTAGGGTTCCTTCAATTGCTGGTAACAATAAACTCAACTCAAATTGGCTTAACCAATAAAGGAAAAACACTATTTTGACTTTCACACTAGAAGTGTAGACTTAGAACAAGCCTCAGGGTTGACTCAATCAGTGGCCCCCACTCCATTTCTCAGTGATTCTCTTGGCCCTGTAGTCCTTTGTGTATGAACTTCATCCTCAGGCTATAGGAGTTCTAGACCTCAATTAGATTAATAACTCCAGGGAAAGAAAGGGGAGGTGAGCCTCCTTGGGCCTCTGGGCTCCATGGAGGCCCTGAACCAAATCACCCTCATTTTGCAGATGAGGAAACTGAAATACAGAGAGGTCAGATCACTTCCCCTAGTGTATTTATCTGTAAGCGATACACTTAAGAGCAGAAGTCGGTCTTCCGACTTAGCTCAGTGATTTCATTATTCCACGTTGAGGTCTTCAAATGCTATAGTTGGGAAACCTCTCGACATTCATTTAGTCTAACTCTCCATCTAGGAGTCTCCATCTTATCTTAAAATTTCTCTCTATTTAAGTTTTATTGGACATGAACAACAGTGTGGGGTTGGAGGGGGGATAGGGTGAGGTAGAAGAGGGCATAGAGGGGGTAAAAGGTGGTGGAAAAAATAAAATAGAATAAAAGATTTATTATGTACGTTTCCCAATAACAATTTATCAGTATGTCATGTGACATGGCACAAGGATGATATTATAATACAAGCACAATAATTTCTTAAACACAGAACAGACGTGATGGGAAAAACTATACTTGTCTTAATTTTTAATCTCTACTTAGGGTAAATGTCATAATGGTACCAAATTAAAAGCAGGAACAGCACTTTTGCTGCTGTCTTTCTAAAGGATTTGCAGGGACTCCATTTTGCTGGCCTCATAATTTTCTTGGTCAGCCAATTTTAAAAATAGGAAAATAGTTTATCTTGGAAATGTTGATGAAGCAACTTCAGCCCACAATCAAAACCATAATGGAAAAATCAATTTTAATTATTTGTGAGGTGTGGAATTTCCTATTTGGCTAATAAGTCTCAATGAAAAGCCGGCCCCTCCCCCCCGCTCTTTAGCACTGTTCCCCCTTAGCTCTGCCTCAAGCTGCCCACGCTCTCGTTCAGCAGCACAGCGGAGGGGGCAGGAGCCTGGAGCTCTGTTTTCAGGCTGACAGCGAGGAGCTGGGTCCCTGGGTCCCCCTCCCTCCCCTGTGTGTCCTGTGGCCTCAGCTGGCTGGACACTCCGATGGTGTCTGCAGTTTTGCAGAGTTAAAACGGTCACAGTCCTGGCTAACCCTTGGCTCATCAAAACAGCCTGCTCAGCCTTGAGGAAGGAAGGCCCAAACTTTTAAGTCATGAGTCACCCAGGTGCCACAACCTATTGCCTCCGAGGAAGGAGAAGAAATGGAGTCGGCTCAAAACAACTGATCCTTTGTGTCAGAGAGATGACAGTGCCAAAGACCATGTCCAGCGGTGTTTTCCAAGCAGAGCGAGACGGCCTGTCCACCTCCCTGCGCTCCTGACCCCGGGACCCCAGCGCCCAGGGAAATCCCTCGGCCCGTCTGTCTGGGGGAAGGATTCGCCCTTCCTATATATGCTGGCCGCATCTTCTTGCGTTCTTTCTTACTGCAGCTGAGAACACCAAGGAGTGGGTAGGGAAATTTCAGGGTTCCTAAAGGCCACCGGAGGATTCAGAATTGCTGCCTGGGCTGGGAAACTCGTGGCGTTTCTGACTGACCGCCGCATCCTCTTGCAGGTAGCTGAGCGGCTGATGACCATCGCCTACGAGAGTGGAGTCAACCTCTTCGACACGGCCGAGGTCTACGCCGCGGGGAAGTAAGTCGGGACCTGTTTGTGTCCCTCAGGTGGCACCAAGAGACGCTGCCCTAGCCACTGTGGACATGCATGTCAGTGGCACTGCTCTTCTCCCTCCCTCCACCTCCATCACCAGGGCTTAGGGATACTGACCGCCTCCCGCCTCCCGCCCACTCTGCCCACCCAAACCTTCCCACCTCTGGTTCCTGTATGGAAAACGGACCCGAAGCAATTGCCGTGGCCTACATGAGGGGCAGGGTGGCTGGGACCAGAGTGGTGGCAATATAGATCAATAAATATTAGTTCAGTATATGAGTGAGCAAATAAATGAGCAGATTCCAATATGGTTGTTCAAAAGCTACATCTCATAGTTCCTCAGCCCCCAGGGAAACTGGGCCGTTCTCTCCCCTGGGGAAGGAGAAACTGATTTTCCTGTTTGCTGGTAGCATTACGGGTAGATCAGAGCTCTCATATCTTTTCTAAGAGGGCATTTCAGTCCCCTCTCTGAGGACAGAGAGGGCTGCAGAGAGGCCTCGATTCTTTTGCTGGGGAAGTCACATCTACCTACAACCTTCCTGTGGACATGAGAGCAGGATTGGCCTCTAGAACAGGCTCACTGCTAAATCAGAGCACGTGGGTAATGTGCCCTCGGACAGGCCTCCAAGTCCATGTCCCCCAGTTTCCGGCACGACAGGAACGTTTTAGAACAGAACAGGAACACCTTGGCCTGCTCCTGTGAATGTGGATGTGGCTCCAAATCTCAAGGCACTAAATCGCAGGACAGCGGCTTGAGAGGCTCTGCAATTTTCTGACAGGGTTGCGGTGCCTGGTCCCCGCAGGCTCATTCCCACCCCGGTCCAGGTGAGAATTCCAACCAGAACGCCAGCCTTGCTGAAGCAGGTTCGTCGCTGTCTGGTCAGAGCGCGTTGCCCTTGCGCGGTGTCCTCCAGGGGCAGGTCTGCGTTTAAGGCCCATGAAGGGGGTTCAGGGCCCGCATCCCTCATGCTTTCTGCTGAGTCCGAGGAGAGAATGAAATTGATAAGGCCTTGCTCCTTTCAACATCATACCCTTTCGCAGTGTTTTCTTCTGCTGGATCCTGCGGGGTGCTAAATGGGGCGAAGGGTGAAAAGGGAAGGAATGGCGAACACGTCATTAGAGTTCTGTTCCTATTCCTACTGTGAAGAATCATCAGTCCTGGCTAATTACTGATTGACTGTCAGTGTGTAACAGAGAGAGGTTCCCACTGCACAAAGCAAGGTTGCAAAAGGAACCGTGAGGGTGACAGAAGGGGAGGAAGGAGAGAACACTGTGGAACATTCAGTGCATGTCTGGGGCGTGCTCCATAGCTCACTGCATCGTGGCTTATTGCCAGGCTCCCAGATACATTCCAACAATGAACTCTCCGTCAAGACACATAATGATTATCGATGACTCCCATCTATAGGACCCTAATGGACAAAGTGCTAATTCCATTGGTGTTCCATTCACAAAGATTCTGAGAACACAGCTGCTTCTCACAAGTTGGTCTTACTGGGAGGGACCTAGAAGAAAGTTTTAGTCCCCTCAAGCTTGGGTCCCAGTGGGCTAGAGAGATGGGGAGAGGACAGTGGATATACTTCTCCACGACCCAGCCTTAGGTGCAGGAAGGACACCTTTCTACATCTCCTATGTCCTGCTTCTATGACGATGTTTGTCACTGGATCCCAGGACATTCTCGATGTGGGCCACTGCACCTGCAACCCTTACATCTGGGACATCTAAACCCACGCACTGGTTCTTGTATCCTGCAAGATCTCCTGGGAGTCAATATTGTCTGTCTAAACAGTATGAGGTCTCATTGTTTTCCCAGGTCACAAATGGAAACCACAGCAAATAGAAGGAAAACCTTGACTCCCCTTGGACACCGCCAAATAGGACATTTAGAGATGAGATCAGTGGTCTAAAAACACCAAATTGCCAAATGCCTACACTGTTTCTTAGTGTCATGACCACAGGTAGTCTCCTGCCAGCATGTCAGGATTTGGCAGGTGCTACTGAAATGCTCTGGAGCAGGATTCTACAGGCACAAGCAGAAACTGTGCTACCAGCCGAGAGCAGCTTCTATTTTCAGGACATGGAGGCACTGAGAGTTCAAATAGGGAATGCCTCTGGTGTTTTGGATTGACTCTTGCATTCCCAGGCCACTGTACCCTAAGACATTGTCTGTTTTCCCCTCCAGGGCTGAAGTGATTCTGGGAAGCATCATCAAGAAGAAAGGCTGGAGGTAATGCATTCACTATCATCATTTATTTGCCTTTAAATAGACTTTTCCAGAGAAGGGAAAATAAAATTGAATGACAATTGACCAAAAGGCTGTTCAAAAAGAAGTCAACTCTTAGTTGACTTCCAAAGAAATGATTTATAGTGGTTGGAAAATAAATACCAGCAAGTTCATTATTTGTGCTTCAAAATGTATTGACTAGTCATTAATCACAATGAATTACCATGGGGTCGAGCTGAGAAGGAGGGAATGTTCAGGAGGTATTCGTCAATAAAAGAAAGGGGCATTTTCATGGCTTCTGACTGCCATTTATGGTAATTTGGTGAAGGAAGCCAGCTGACAGGAACCTTATTATCTATACACATATATTTATGTTCATTGTTCATTTTATTAACTACTCTGAATTAACATCTCCAAAAGAAATGGTGAAATAAGAAGCCCTTTGGAGAAATACCCCAGTTCTCTTTTCTGCCAGTGTCTCTCCTGTGTCCGGGCAGCCCTACTGTCTGAGCGTTCAAGATCGTGCTTCATCTGCTCTCCTTGAGGGCTCCTGTTCCATCCCATCACCTTCTGTAGCCAAAGCCAGTGGTAGTAATGGATGCCATAACATCTGGGGGCAGGGGGAACAACACCCTCCGTTTCACTATGCATGTCAGCCCCGATACCCCCTTCTTCCTCAGCATGAGTACATCAGGCAAAGTCCAGCAAAGACCATGGACAAGCCTGAGGTCCCCTTCTGCTCTGGTGTAATCTCTGCTGATGGCCAAATGAGTAACAATTCAGTGGCACTAGTGAGACAGCTGTGCCAAGAACGCGGCTCCCTGCATATGCACAGCTTGTATAAAATTTAGTCTAGGAAAAAGGGACATTCTCAAAGAATATGGCTCAAGGCTGATGCTATTATGCTTTCCACAAAGCATTTGCACGTCCTCTGGAGGGGGAACGAGAGGGGTGGGACACAGCGCCATGTGTTCTTGGGGCTGCTTGCTCCTCACTCTGAAAGAAGCGTTTGGTAGGAGTGGAGGGTCTTGTGGAAACAGAAAACCAGAAATTGATGGAGTTGTCAACAAATAAAGTTTAGTGACCTACTTTCTCCTCTAATTCCTCTTCTCCCTAACTACAGGGACTGTAAGAGTCTTACAAAAGAACTGTATTCAACTTTAAATATGGAAAAATAGCCATGTTCCCAACCAGCCCTCCGCCTTGTTGAGTTACCTGCCCACTCAGTATGCTGGCCCACCCACCACTGCCCAAGTAGGGACTGCATCCGTTTCCTGGGGCTGCCGTAACAAAGTGTACAAACTGGGGGGCTTACCCCAACAGAAATTTATTCTCTCACACTTCTGGAGGCCAGAAGTCCAAAGTCAAGATTTGGGCAGAGCCACGATCCCTCTGAAACTCTGGGTAGAATCCTTTCTTGCCTCCTCCTAGCTTCTGGTGGGTGCTGGCAATCGTTGGCATTCCTTGGTGCACTTACAGCTCTTCAACATCTGCCTCTGGCACCATCTGGCATTCTCCCTTCATTTGTGTCCATGTGTCTTCCTATGAGGACACTAGTCATATTGGATTAAGGGCTCACCATTCTCCAGTGTGACTTTATCTTAATATAACTAATTACATGTGCAATCACCCTATTTTCAAATCAGCTCACATTCTGAGGTACTGGGAGTTGGGACTTTAATAGCATATCTTTTTTTTTTTTTTTTTTTAATATATCTTTATTGATTTCAGAGAGAGGAAAGCAGAGGGAGAGAGAGAGGGAAACATCAATGATGAGAGAGTCATTGATCGGCTGCCTCCTGCACACCCCCGACTGGGGATCAAGCCCTCAACCCAGGCATGAGCCCTGACCGGGAATCGAACCCCAATCACTTGGATCCTAGGTGGATGCTCAACGGCTGAGCCATGCCCAGCCGGGCAATAGCATATCTTTTTGAGGGACACAATTCAACCTATGACAGAGACCTTGGGGATGTATCCACCAGCAGCCCAGTGAGACCTGCAGAGAGGGATAGGCTGACAGTGTCCACTTGAGGAAGGAGAGGAAGCCTCAGTGCAGTGGCTCTTTGCCCCTGGATGTCCAGAGAACAATAAGCCATCGTCCTCCACAGTTTGCAGAGCTTATTTTATACCTACAAGAAAGTAGATGAACATGCATCTTTCACAAACTGCCTTTCAGTCTTGCAAATAAAAACTCAAGCTATCACCAGGCAACAGAATATTTATATCCATTCCCCTCTATCCCCAGAAAACTGGTGGTAAGATAAACTATATCATCATAGCATGGAGTCTATACAAGCAATTTCTACTGGAGCATACCTGGCTTCTACTCGCAGGGCCACCACTTGCTAGCTGTGCTGTCCAGGACAAGTTACTTCACTTCTTTGAATCTCAATTTCTCCACCTGTAAAATGGGTGTCATAGCTGTTCCTAAAGTGTCATGCCGGTAAAGTGACATAAAGTGTGCAAAAGCCTTTTGAAGGCTGTGCTATGTCAAAGGAAAACACTCATATTATCATCCTGTGCCCACCCTCAGTGCCTTCGGGAGGTCAGTGATGATTTGCGGGGTTGCTGTCTACTCTCGCTGTTTGAACGTGAGTGTTAGTGCGCACGCCCATAGGCCCCACATTTTACAGAGAGCCTAACTGCGGGAAAATCAGTCTGCGGTGGGGGTGCCTGGGTAGAAGGTGCAGCTTTGGCAGGCACACACGCTCTGAGTGATCCAGAGGGCTGCGTTCATCTCTCATACTATTCCATCCAGCCTTTTGTGGAAGCTCTGGAAGTGTTTGCTAAAGCAGACCTGGCTCCCCAGCCCTGGCAGATCACTACTATCCTAGGCACTGTGAAGTCAAAGGATCAACCTGGAAAGTGCATCAGCTCTTCTGGGCTGTGTAATCTTCAGATGCTTATGTCTGTAGACCTTCCGATAGGGATTCAAATTTTTCAGGGAATTAACTTCAGTAGGATGGGGTTGCTAATATTTCCTGCAAATTTTTCTTGTTGCCGCCAAGTTGTCAGACTTTTCACCGTCAGTCCCCATTGGTTATCGTTAATCATACTAGGCTCACTCCTGCGGGCCCTGAGGCATCGCCTCTACAGCTGATGGAATTATAAATGCTTTATATCAAATATTCCCAAAGTTTGGTCTAAACCTTTGAATCATAAATGATTTTTTTCCCGAGACAAGTTCAATTGAATTACATACCTGGAGAAACTAAATTACACTGAGATCTGCCTCCCAATTTTAAATTATATGACTATAGTTCTCAAGACATATTTCTTATTCCATGTTCATAATGGCATTTCCTCCCTTTAAGTGTGATTTTCAGAAAGTAATACATTTGCTGACAAGATTTCCACATTGTATTCCCTTAAGAGTAAGGTGGTAAAACTTTAAGTTAAGGATTTTTTAACTGTTTTCCTAAAATAACATTTCCATTTAATAAGACACTCATAGACATTTTATTCCTACTTATTGACTATTATAATTTACTTCATATTTCCATGTAGTCAGTTGCTGCCTGTGGATGTGATGGTTGGAAAGGGTAGTAACTCAAAGCCACTAGGTCCATGGTCCCTGGAGAGAGACTTACCCCCAGGAAAGTTCATACCCCATCAAGGTTATGTGAGCTGCTAAGGGAGTGTTAGTGGGTGGCCGTTTGTTTGAGATCCTAAAGCAATCCATCATTTAGCCCTCTCACTTACCTTTCTCATTTACTATTTCTGACCCTCCATGTCTACCGCTTACCTTTGCTTTGCCACCACCTGTTCGAGTCCCCACTCTCTAGCTTCTCTTTGTTCTTACGTTTTAGTGATATGAATGAACAAATTGATCTCTTTACCAACTTTTTAAAAATGTGAGGTGCAATAAATGTTTTTGGTATCATAATAATTATATGACTCGGTACAATAACCAACAATTTATTTACTGTTTCTCTGTGTTTGTTTCACATTGCAGGAGGTCCAGCCTGGTCATAACAACCAAACTCTACTGGGGTGGAAAGTAAGTTAAATAACTTTATTTTCCCTACTTGGCAGGAAACAACTAGGAGTTCATGTTTTTATCTTTTTAGGCAAACATTTTACACCTAACACACTGAAATCAATTGGTTTAGAGAGAAAGATGATTGTTTCTTACTTGAAGGAAATAGCAATTGGCCTAAGATTCCTTTTTAACAGGATGCTCCCAAAGAGTCTGAGCTCAAAGCATGTGGTCACTTGTTATTAAGTGATTCATGGAGATTTTTCAAATACCAGCCTCATACTTAGAACTGTTTCCAAAACAGAGTTCAAATTTTGGAAAAAGGAAATAAGCACATACCATCACAGAGGAAAAGATACTCAAATCTGCCAACACTCAGACTCCTCCGGAACGCGAAGATAAAAATATCTTGCCTGGCCGGAGTGTAAGTCTCTGATCATTTCTGCAGAGGGCTCTGAAAGTGCTGATCTCACTGAGGAGTAACGCAGAGCTTCCTGCATCACTCGCCCTCAGGCGACAGGAAAGAGAAGTCCTCTCTGGGGTGGGATGCAGAACAAATGTCACAGGATGAATTGGCTTCTGATGGACCTACTGGTGTTTGAACTGGTACTTACATCATTCGGCAGGACATAGACATCTTCGCCTTTAAGCCAAACGTGTAAAAATACAGCAAGCTATCCCATACACCTTTTCATGGAAATCCCAAGGATTTCTTAACAGAAAAACCAAATAAACAAAACCTTAGTTACCTCCCTATAAATAGATGGGGAATAGTTAAAAACCAAGTTGGAGGCAGAGACCAGTTTTTTAGAAATCTTCTAATCAAAATCTATGTGTACACACAGATACATGCACACATACTTATTCATATTTTATTGTTGTTTTTGAGCCTACTATGATGAATATGAAAACAGAAAAATAAAATTTAGGTTTTTACTGCCATTGTAGTCTATATAAAAATAAAGCAACGTGGTGCCTCTGCGAATCATAGATTTACATTTTCTGTGCTCTGACTCGTGGTGCCATTGCTTGGTATTTTTGCAGGGGTACGCAAAACCTTAACTGTGATTTAGAAATAATCAGGAAGTGAGACAATCTGCAAGAAACAATATGTAGGAGAGTATTGCATACAGTATTATCTAATATACTTATAAGAGATTTAAAAAATCACCAAAGGCGAATGGTAAACTACCTTGCTTTTAAAAGAGGTTGCCAAAGGTATTAACGTTGAAGAAACATCAGTGCTTTCAAACCCAAGGACCACATTCCTCTCTAATTGACCAGAGTTTGAGAATGGTCCAAAAAGGCAAAAGTCCTGGTTGAAAGTTTATCTTCTTAGGATACTAATTTAAGAAAAGTTGTTTGATCACATTTAAAAAGACAATAGTCATTTATTTCTTTTGAAAGTCAAAAGACACTTTCAAATTCGCTTCCTTTCTCAGAGAAGCTAATGGCATCCGCAGCCTGGCAACCGTGCAGTAAGCTCACGCACTTATATCGAGCCTTCCATTTTATTTTATTTTACTTATTTTATTGGGGTCGGTAAGAACAAGGAGAGAAGGTTGAGCCGTGTGTCAAGTTAAATACAGACAGGGTGTGGGTGGCTGCGCTGTTATCCCCATGGCGTGGTGACAGCCACGGGTAATTCTTCTCCTGGGGTCTCCGAAGACGAGCCCAGTGTGCTGCCCACCCGCCTTCTCTCCTCAGCCTGCAGTGGTGCAGAATTTGCCAAAAACAGGGCCTGAAGTTAGCAGTTCAGTCTAGGATGATTATTCCCCTGTACTTTTGAAAGAGCAATAAAAGAAAGCACACCCCACTCAGTCACCTGCTTCTTTCTCTTGTCAGAGCTGAAACGGAAAGAGGGTTGTCACGAAAACATATCATCGAAGGTAGGCACTGCTGCTTCATTCTGCTTTCGTTTGTGGGCTGCTTTCATTTGTGACCCAAGAAAGGCATCGACCGGATAGGTTCAAAACACATTGGGAGGGGGGGAAATTCTCCATAAAAAGAACCACAGTCAGCCAGGTTTCTTCCTGGGATGTGTTGGGAGTGTAGCGATAAAGAGGGAAGAAAGGAAACTCAGAAAAGGGCCAAATTTTCTAGAACTCTTATCATTTACAGCTATGCTAACATTAATAAAACACTTCCATACAGCTTCTTAAAAGGGTTTTATTGAGATATAATTTATATATTATAAAAGTTTACCCATTCACAGTGTGCAATTCATTGGTTCCAAGTATAATTAGAGTTGTGCAAATCACCAGCATAATTTGATTTTAAAACATTTTTATTTCCCCAAAAAGAACCCTTGTAGCTATTAATAGCCACTTCCCATCCCTTCCTTACCCTCTCTCCCACAGCCCCAAGCGACTACTAATCTACTTTCGTCTCTATAGATTTGCCAATTCTGGACATTTCATATAAATGAGATTGTACAATATGTGATATTTTGTGACTGGTTTCTTTCACTTAGCATAATGTTCACCCATGTTACCACATGTGTCAGCATGTCATCCCTTCTTATAAACACAAAAACATATGTATTAAACCAATGGAAGTAAGCTATACATATTACTTTTACAGTAATAATTATTTGGGGCTTCAAAATCAGACAAACATTGGTTTGAGTTCCAACTTTGTCATTTAGAGCTGGGGGACTGTGTAAATTACTTAACATCACTAAGGCTTCATTTCCTTGACTATAAAATGGGCTATAAATATTCCCACCTTATGGTGTTACTATACATAGATTGAAATTAGGTAATTTGCATTGAGCACAGTGTCACATAATAAACACTTAATAAATTATTTTTGTCATCATCATCATCATTAATAGTGCAGCTTCTTGTCACCATTCTATGGATAAGGAAACCCCTTTATTAAGTAAGTAACATTCTGAGGCTGCCAAAATAAAAGACCACGTTCTAGTGTTGAGAAAGCTTCCAAATTCCTCACCCAACCAAGTCCCTTCTCTTGGTGTCCACTTTGACCTGTCTCTCAAAACTGTTACCATTCCTGCTCTAGCCTTTGCCCCATGACTTGTGTCATCTAACCAAGTTTGTCAATAAGACATAAACCTGTCGGCTTGTAGCAACAAGTTGAACAAACACAGCAGCAGTGCGTTGCCTTAGAGAGTTGTTTTTCTTTTTCTTTTTACTCTAATTGATTAAAAAAGAGATTCAGAAAATAGTTCATATTGGCAATCAACAAAGAAATAAAAAATTGAAGAGGAAAGGACAGAGTGCTGCTGCTTTAATATTTACCTGTGTCTGTTCATAATTTTAGGATTCTCTCTTTTTCTAAATCAGTTTTCTTGAGGCCTCATACAGCCTAATAGAAACACCTTAAATTCTCTCTCCGTTTAAATAAGTCAGGAATTCTCTTAGGAACTAATCTCTCAGGATGCATAAACCAGTTCAGCTGAAATTCCAATTGACCCAGATTCAAACTTTCACACAAAACTTCACACTTTCGAGATTGAAAAAGAATTGGGATCACTTATTATGTTTCATTATTGCTGTTATTTTACAGTTCATAGTTTCAACCAAAGACAAAAAATGATCATAAATACAAGAGAGTCAGAAAAAGGATGCTTGTAGCCTGGCTGAAATTAGGGAATTGAGTGACTTTTGCAGGAAAAAGGGGGACATGAGATTTCTAAACCCAAAATAAAGTTTGAATGATTTGTAAAATCTGGGTTTCATTGGTACTTGTTCTGTGATGAAGGTGACCTTATTTGACATTGGAGATTTATATGCACATTAAATTTGAGAGTTGCTGTTAAAGAGTAGGCAGAAGCCTGATTCATGTAGAGTTCAGGCCCCAGGTGTACTGGGAGACCTTGACTATCTAAGTTCATTTATAAAGTATAAAATGAGCTTGACTTGTGAATAATGTAGTTTTGAAAAAATTCATATAAAAGATCTTTTCAATGAGCCCAATCCTTGCCTTAGATCCAATTAGGAATAACATTCTCCTTAGATTCACAAGGAGAGGGTAGAAATTGCACTAACGGGTTTATTATATCAATTTAGAAGCCCCGGGTCCTCTCAGGCTCTGAAAGTCTCTTTATTCATTTAGGCATTCCATAAACATTTATTAAGCCCAAAATTATGCCAGTGTTGAAATTCAGCAGGTCACATTTCTTTAGCATCTAATATGAAAGAATAGAAATGGTTTGGTAAGTCAAAGTATAAGGATAAATAAATTGTTTGGGTGCTTTTATAGGCAAAGCTGTATCTAAGTCTATATTTGCCTTTCAGATAAACAATAGTTTCCTTATGTGATTCAAAACACAAACCCACTGTCATTGTTTTAGGAATAGAAAAAGGAAATAATCTGAGAAAGCTCTTCTTAAACCTTTTATTTATTTATTTTTTACTATTATTTTAAATGTATCTTTATTGATTTCAGAGAGAGGAAGGGAGAGGGAGAGAGAGAGAGAAACATCAATGATGAGAGTCATTGATAGGCTGCTTCCTGCAGGCCCCCCACTGGGGATCGAGCCCACAACCCGGGCATGTGCCCTGACCTGGAATCAAACCTGGATCTCCTGGATCCTACATCGATGCTCAACCTCTGAGCCACGCCCAGCCTGGCTGTTCAAACATTTTAAATGAATTGCAAATGTTAAACCCTACTACCTCAATTTTAAAAAGGTAATTTATGATTTTTTTGATAATTTATGATTTTTTAATTAAAAAGTAAATTTCATAACAAACAGATTCACCACAGGATTCCTTCTCAGTGTATCATGTTCATAGTAATAGAAACTATCCACCAAGATAACCGTGTTTCTTAATGGAAGAGGCAGGGACATGTATTATTCTAATACACTGCAGTCTTTATTTAAAAGAAAAAAGCAAGTGTGCCTTAAATCATGACTGAGATGTCTGCCAAGAAGAAGCTGGAAAATTATATAGGGAAACTGTGTACATTACTTACACCACACTTTTTTTTCAAGCTCGATAGGAAATCAAATGTGTGGTAGATATAAAAGATGACAGACAATACAGCATATTTGAATAGAACTCTTGCAGAATTCCAAACTACTGATTTCCTTTTTTCTATACAGTTAGACCTGCAACCCTGAGCACCTGATCCACCTCTATGCCAATCTGCTTAATATCTGGAATGAGCATATATGTCTTTAGGTAGATGCCTGTAAAACATGCTTAAATTGAATTAAGGATCACCTGATAAATAATACAGTTCCCGTTAAACTTCAGAACCTAAAAGGAAAAAAATGAATTTAGATTTCTCTTTACTATAATCACTTGAAAGCTATTTTCTTTGTGTAATGTAATTTATTATCCTGTGGGCTTTTGAGGAATTGCCAGTTAATTTCTAGACATTCCTCAAGGGCAGGGAGCATTTCCCCCCCGCTTCTCTTGTTTTTACTTCCCCAGATACTGGGTTGGTGTCCAGGGACAGGCTAATGTCAAAGTGCACTTCGGTAAGTGCACTCACTACCCTGGAGCACTTACCTCCTTAGGTCATGATTAGCTGTCCGGATGCCCCTCTAGAGCCAAGGTTAATGCATTTTTGTATGTCTACTTAAACTTAAAACAATACCTGGCCCCAAGCCAGTGCTCAACAAACAGTGGCTAAGTGGAGATAGAACTTGACTATTTGTTTATTGAAAATAACCCTAAGTGGCTTTCAAGGAGACATTTGTTGAACGTGTCTTTATGTTGCTATTATTGAGTTATTTCTACCAGATTAAAGCATCCAAATAGAAAAAGGAAGGAAGGCCTGATTTGGTTTGCAGTCCCAGGAAAGGTCAAAGAAGAAAGTTCATCCAGCTCCATTTCGTCTTTGGCCCTGACAGGCTGAGACACAGGCAGGGCTGTTGGGACCAGGCCGAATCAGCAGCCTGGGTGAGCGCCCTGCCCTACCTGCACGTGCGCCTCTGCCTGAATGCCGGACTGGTCCACCTGCCGCCAAGGGCTCCGTGCGGTGTCCACTGACACGCTGCTCTGACTTCTCATGTCCACTGGCCGTCTGCTTTTCCCTTGACGTCCGCATCTTACAGTCCACTTCACTTCTCGGGCCAAAAATCTAAGAGTCATCCTTGATTCCTCTGCCTCCAAAATCTAAATCCAGCACACCAGCTAGTGCTCTATTTTCTGCTTATACAGCTTGTCCCCAAATTGAACACTTTTCAGCAACTCGGTCCAAGTGTGACCTGGGGCAGTAACCTGTTTAGTGGTCTTTCTCCCTTCTTTCCCTCTTGTCCCCTGCAGGTCACTCTCAGCACTCTGAGTGATTAGTTCAAAGTGGAAATCTGTCCTATTACATACAGGGTGGCCCAGAAAAATGCATACACACGCTTTGAAAAATTATAAAGGCAGTGTTTATTAAACGGCACTTCATTTTCAAAATTGAGCTATCAGCTGTTAAAGTGTGTATACGTATTTTTGGGACACCCTGTATTTCAGGGAAATGTCATTTCCCCCCTTCACTCCCATTTCCTTACCTCCCAGTTCCCAACCAACGTTTTCTAATTCATACCATAGATGACAAGACTTGAGATTTTCGAAGGGAATGGAAAGTGTTTCACAGGGACACAATCTCCTTTTACTCCACTTCAAAGTCAGAGTAGGGACCAGGTGGATCACTAACATGAGGCAACACATCATTTCTTACATTATTACATGAATACACTTAAAGCTCTGCTTCCCGGAGAAAGAATCGAGAGGTGAGGAATGACCGAATACAATGACCTTTATATCAAGTCCACGCCATGATTTTGGGGTATAGATTATTACCTTGAACAATGAACCTATGCCAATAGGTGCTCTCGATGTGCACTGTTAGCTCCTTCGGGATGAACTGATGTCCATACATCTTTATACTCTCAGAGCTCAGCACAGTTTCAGAATCAGATTGGGAGTCAGAACATGCTTATGGCGTGGGAGAGTAAATAGCGTAAGCCTGGACTGGTCAGACAGCATCAGCACAGGGCCAAGTCAGTCATAGCTTCTTCTCCTGCTTATTGTCAGCCCACCCTGAGCGCTGTAGAAGGAGAGGCCATCATCAGAAAGGAGGGCTTTGTTTCCAGTGCCAGGCATGGGCCAGGATGTCACTAAATGCCTCCCTCCCAAACCAGCGGGTTTAGTGAAAATCTCTGGCATTTAGCTGTTGGCACCTCTCGTTCTGGATCTTTCCAGATGTGAACGCCACTGTTATAATGACCACATTACTCTAGACTATTGCATTTATAAAGTACTTAACAACTGATTTTATTTGCTCTCTGGAGCAGCGATTCTGAAGGTAGAGAAGTACTGTTATCCCCACTGCAGATCAGAGAACTGAGTCACCGAAAAGGTGAAACAAGCCCAGTGAGATCACTCGGCGTGCTAGGGTAGGTTTCCAAGCTTTCAAACCTTGGAACGCCCTATTTATTTGTTTGCTTCGTTACCCTGTCCTCCCCTCACCTTCTCCATACATACAATTGCTTCCAAAAAAGTGGCTCATATCATGGTGCTTTTGCCCCTTGAGATAGCTGGTAACACCCTGAGCCTGGAAGTCGCCGCAGTCATTCGGGAGCACGCAGCAGGCCCGGTAGCCCCTCCGCCCCACTCTCCCCCCAGCGCTTCCCTTAACAAGCTGCCACCACAGACCATCCTTTCTTAATGAATGAAAACTGCGTCCGGAAAGATGTTCACACACTCCATTTTCCTGTCAGAAAGGTAATTGAGGCTGGCCGATAAACCAGTTTGAAAAATCAGATTTAAATGAGCCAAATTTCAATTTATAAGAGCCTCATTTAACATGCAATTAATTTTATGCCTATAATAAAAAGAGAAAAACCTCCGGTCTTCCTGAGAAATTAAAAGGGTGGTTAAGGAAATGCTGTGCCTCATGGAAATGAGACAAAATGACTCTTGAACACTGTCATCCATTTGGTTGCATAATATTATATACAATACTTCTATTTCAGGAAAGTATTAATTTTACTGAAATTAAATAAGTTTTTTTCTGAATTTTCATAGGAATGTGATCAAATGGTTAGAGTTGAAACATAGATTATGGGTTCCAGATTTTATTTTAAGCTCTCACTCTGTCCTTTATATTACCTCTTCAGTCTTCACAGCTTCTGATATTTTTGGTTCTCCCCAAAAGAATGGGGAATAACAGAAATGGTGGAGCTCAGTTATATTTAAGGTTCTTCAACTTGCGTTCCAATCATTGAGATGTTGAGTGACGCCCTCATTGGCCAACCCTTTTATTCCTATTATAAGCCATTGTGGAGTTGGTAGTTGCTTATTTCTGATTTATATTATTTTTATGTTTTCCTGTGCAGTAAATATATTTCTATCCCATTATAAGCCCATTAGGTAATTCAAAACATGACATTAATTTGCATTTTTCAAGAAGAAACTTAGGCTGCTTTTACTCTAAACTTTGTTTCCAGATACTTCCACCATGAGTCACAGTGCAAGTTTATCACTAAGTGTGTATTTTCCAGTGTGGTAGGAGTAGTAATGTCAGAGAGAAAATTCTAAGACTTTTCTTTGTTGGGGACAAAATCAGCCTTTGACATATGTTTACAAGGTTTTAGAGGTCAATTAACAACACATAATGGTATTTGGTGCCTTTTTGAAACTAATTCATTGCTTTTTTAAAAAGTAAATTCTTAAAGATAATTGAACTTCTACTCTTTCTAATACTGCTCACAATTTGGACTTTTCTGGCTTGTTCGGCTTCTGTTCCCAGGATTGAAGGGCTCCCTCCAGAGGCTGCAGCTAGAGTATGTGGATGTAGTCTTTGCAAATCGACCAGACAGTAACACCCCCATGGAAGGTGAGTAAAGAAATTTAATAAAAGTCTCTATAGTTATCGAGTCTAGCTTGACGACTGTTCCACTCACAGTAGGAAATGAAATATATTCAGACTGATTTGATTGAATATGAAAAACAAAAATCTTTCCAGTCAGTGTCTTTCAGCCTCAATACTCACCCTGAAAGCCAATGCCCAGTATCCTGCATCTTCATTGTTTTTTTAAATAGCTGCAGGTATTGGAATTGCGGCTTCTGCTGGGTACAGTACTCACTTTTTCCAGGTTCATTTCACTCCTGTGATTCCATCAACTAAAATGATTAAATTAATTGGAAGGGGAGTTTATAACCCAGCCATTATCATTTTGAAGTAAGTCATCTGAGGGGCTTCCTGTTTTATAATGACTTGAGGCCTGATTAGTTTCCAATCTGTGGAGCCAGTATTTAACATGAGAATCTTCATTGCACTTTGGTTTTTGATTCTCAAGGAGCTTCAACATTTTGTTTCTTTTCTGTTACAACTGTTTGAAGACAATAGCTTGAGCATCTCCTGTGGAAGCTTTTGAGAACATTCCTAAAAACAGATTTTCTTCAATTTACATTTATTTATGGAGCCTATCTAGGATTATTGAGAAAGAAGACAGTTTGGGAGGGCAAGAAGACTGCACAGGTGATGTTGGTTCCTTCTCAGTGTGTCCCATTACTGGTTGTGTTCAGGTTGACCACTCAGTTAAGATGACATCTGCCAGCCTTCTCCACCATGATAATACCTCTTTGACTTCGCAATTAATAAACAATGTGGTGTGTGCTTCTCTGAGACCAGGTCAATAGCCTGGTCCCCCACAACCTGGTTTAGCATCTGCTGAGGATCCCTGCCCACATCCATTATTACAATGGGAGCCACAACCCTTCTCCATTTATGAGCGAGCATTCTGCTGTAAGGCGAGCTCTCCTTCCCCTTCCTCGCTCACTCTCAGTTCTGTGCCTCTGAAGCCCTCTCGCTTGTTTGAAGAATATGAAGGTTGAGACAGAGGAGAGAGGATATCGGAAGAAAACGATGCTGTGAGCACCATCCCACCCCAGCAGAGAGGGTCGCCCCGTCACTCCAGCCCTGGTTGGGGGTGGGTGCACTAAGTATGTAGCCATTATAATGAAAATACAGGATATGAATTTAATCCTAAACTGAGATGTGAATATACTGGAAAAATAGTGGAGATAGAAGGATGTGTGCATGGAAGCTAAACCCCTCACTTCCACAGGTCAATAGATAATGTATAAAAATTCTGGACCACAATAGTAATGCATAAATGTTGAGAAATGTAGCGATAGATACCAGAATAGGCGGCTGTGTACGTTGCAGACGGTTTCCTCTGGGGAGCAGGCAGAGAGTCAGAGGGCTGCTCTTTGTTGCAGGCCTTTTAGTTTTGACCCTAAACTATGTGCATGTGTTACTGTGAGAAAACTAAAGACTAAAACAATAAGCATACATGTGCACATGCAAATGAAATAAAAATGCCAGTAGTACTGAGTTGTCAGCATTAAGTAGGACCTCGTGGCTGTTGAAGTCCAGGCACAGCCCTTGGGGTTTAGAAATACACAATCAATGCTAGCTTTCCTATCCGAGATGCCACCATCAGAAGCCAACCATTTCTCACACATCCCTCCAGGATCATGCCAGCACCAGAAAACCGCCCACCGTTTCCTAAGCAGGCTGTGCTGAGCCGGACCCCTTCCCTGAGTGGCCGCCAAAGCAGGTTGTGACTGATAATCCATTGCAGGATGACAGGAGAACATAATTTCCATTTGTTTTATACCTTGTTATTTTTAAAGAGGAATAACAGAGAAGCACCACATGGTCACACACACACACACACACACACACACACACACACACTGGGTAGCCACCTGTGTGAAGTGTGTGATCTCAGGAAACAGAAAATGGTTCCTGCTGGGTTCCCCGAGGAGCTCTGCAGCGAGCATTTGGTTCCGTTCGGGTGCCTGCCAGGCTCCATTAGGCTTCCTGGCGCGTGTGGCTGGGCGCAGTCTGCCTGTTTCTAGCTTGCTGAGGTGCTCTCTGTGGTTGAGAGTAGCTGGAGCTAGACTGCTTGCTTTCAAACCCCAGCTCCAACACTTGCTAGCTCGCCTTAGCTGCGCCTCAGTTTCCTCCTGTACAAAATAATAAAAAATAATAATAATATAATAATAGACCTATTGGATAAGATTGTTGGGAGGAGTTAGTGAGTTACTATATGTTAAGTGTTTAGAACAAGGCCAAGTATATTATAAGCACTAAGTTAGTGTTATTATTAATACTCCAGAAGACCCTTACGTGTATGTGAGAGAACCTCATAAGTTGTGGCATGAAACGATACAAAAGTTCAGGACAGAAAGGATTAGGTCAAACTAGGATGCTGTGTGTAATTTAAGACCAGGCCTGGGAGGGACTATTCATGACGTCTTTTCAGTCACTCAGCCCTTCTGGCTGCTCTTTGCCTCGCACCCAGGCACACGGTTCTCCTGAAACACAGGCAAGTGTGTTGTGTGTGGAAAAGGTGGCTGTGGGAGGGTGAGGGGAGTTGGACACTCCACAGAGTAAACATGAGGCATTTTCCTTCCATGTCAGTTTTACCCAAAGATTTGTAGAGAAAAAAAATATTATTGTTGTTTTAAAGTAAGTGCTTTATTGTGGTGTAGAGTCGAAATTTGCATAATTTTTTATGCCGAAGTCAAAGTTGACTAAGGGCACTTTCTTTTGTGGCGCTTTAGTGGATCACGTGGTAGGAATCCTTGCAAAACCCTGTCTTGCGGGAAAAGCCTTGCTAAGCACTCCCTTAGCAGAAGAGTCCAGTGGAGAAAATAGAGACAGCAGGCACCTTTGGGTGGAGAATGGAGAGAGCCTCAGAAGTGGGGAAGAAAGCCCCAGAGAAAGTGATTAAGGTTCCAGATACAAGCAGACAACGTGTGGAACAGGTACTCAGCCCAAGGAAAGGGGTGCGGAGGTCCCAGGCAGACCCCGAGGGACCAGCCTCCTCGGCAGTGGCCCTTGGGATGAATGTCGCTCGGCCCCTCCGGGGCCTGCCTTACATTTTAACACGCAGAGCAGCAGGTGTCTCATTTTAAAACATTAGCAGACTTAATATTTCCTCTTTACCTCGCAGTTCACTGCTATAAAGCTGAGAAAGGGATCCATTCCACCATGTCAAGTTTAAAAAATGCCTTTTGGTTAGTCACCAGATACCGCCCAAACACAGACAAGCTCTGCAGAGCCAAAATGGATCTGGGGCTGCCAGGAAGCTGCATCTGCTGGAAGGGTAGAGTTTTTAATATCATTAAGACGAAGATAGCATCTCCTTCCAGACGTCTCCCATGACACGACCAGGAAATGAGGCCAGCTCTACACTTTTCAAGAAGCAATAATGACTGCTTCCTGTTATAGCATGAAGCTAGATTTGCCAGTAGAAAATCTCATTAGGATAAATATTTTTTTTCCTCTTATCAATCCTCTGCCAAGTTGCCTGCTTTAATCTTTCATCCACAAGATAGAATTCCTTTTAAAATAAAGTTAAAAGCTGTCCCGAGCAGCTGATACACAGACAGTTGTGTAAGTGAAAAAAAGCTGCAGACAGAATAATAGAATAAGATGCTGTGAGTCAAGATTCCACATCCTCCTGTCTGATCAATGATGGTGACCTTCACACAATTGAAAAGATCAGAAATTCAAGGCCTGAGCCAGATATCTACAATGCAATGACAGGTGCTCCCAAGTGTAAAAATCAGTGTTCCATTAATAATGGATATAGAAATATTAGGTGCCATGTAGAACTTGTGGGGTTTGGTTAAATTAATTTTTTAGTATCTGAATGAACATTTGGAAAACTATTCCTTAATGAGTGTTTTGCATAATACATTTCCTTTTGACATGCCCAGAGGCTTATTTTCTCAGTTGATAGAGATATTTTAAACCTCTACATGCTTCAAATAGCAAAATCAAAAGAGTGGGCATGAAATATGTAAATACGGCTGAAGAGAAAGGGAAAAGAGATGTTTTCGTTTTGTTTGAGCATGGGCGTTGGTGGGTGAGGCTGGTTTTAGAAGAAAGGTGAAGACCTGGTTTCATCAAGTTTTTAATCTCTCTGAGCCTCAGTTTCTTCAAATATAAAATGAAAATGTAATAACACCTCCTCATTGGACTGTAGTAAAGTTTAAATGCAGGCATGTTGATAAAACTCCCAGCACATAGTAGGCACTCCCATAGTTAGCTCTCTCTCTGCCCCTCTGTTGTTGGTGTGCCCAACCAGACCCAGTCTGAGCACAGAGGAAATCGTTGATTGTCAGCCCAGAAGTCACCCCTCCCCTCTCAGGTACCCAGATTTTCATCTGAGTGATGATGCTTCCCCTAGCCTGCCAACCAGCCTAGAAGAAGGCCTCCCCTTGCTGGACCTCAGTTCCAAGTTGAGTTCTGGGTTGTGTTAAACCAATCAGCCCATTTTTTCCCCCTTGGCTGGCGTCACTGGTCCATGTGACCGAAAGAGCCCAATCAGAGTGAATGTCAGGAGTCTTGGAATGCTGAGGGACAAGGATGGACAAGGAAGCAGGTGGCCGTCCGTGCTACTGACAGCCACCCTGATGCCACATGGAATCCAGCCTGGGGAGAGTGGAGCACAGAGTCAGGAAAAAGGTTGTCCTCAATGACTTGGACCAACCAATTCTGAAACATATATTATGACCTCTGCACTTCCAGTGACAAAAGCCGGTAACTCTCTTTTATAATTTAAGGACTTTTGAGTTTTCAATAACTTATTCCATTAAAAAAAATCCAAAATCCCATTGATACACCAAGAAGTATGAGACATCCTCATTTCTAATAAAAAAACCTGCGGCCCAAAGGCAAGAGAATCAGAAGATAAAAAGCTAATAGCTCTCAAAGATGTCATCTTTAGGTCTTTTATATATTATGGCTAAATGAGAGGTATTTATAATCTCTATCATATCTTTCTATGTCTTACTGATAAGTTTTACTGTCAT